ATAGATAGATAGATAGATAGATAGATAGATAGATAGATAGATAGATATCTTGGTCTGATTTTGTTAATTTGTTCTTTATTATTAGCATTGTGACCAATTCTTAGTTGCATCAAACCTACTATTTTAAGCTTCATGTTCAAATTTATTTCAGACATGAGAAAAGGATAAAATTACTCTGGCCATGTTTAACCACATTCTTTTATAGTTAGCAAGTTGAACTGCCTCTGACGCTTCACATAGTCTAGCCATAACTGAACATGATAATTCAAATGTGCTGTCTCCCCAATCCTTTGGACTGCTTCTGATCAACTGTTTACCACGGGAACTAGATTTAGTCTCCAAATCCTTCTCACCCTAGCTTTCCAGACACTGCTACGAATCAATCAAAGCTGACCCATGACAAGAAAATCATTGGCCGTACTGTATCTCCATGAGTGATTCTTGCAAAAATAAGTAATTTACTTGTGAAATCCCTCATAACTTCAAGCAGAACCACTTGTCAGGATGATTTTAGGGAGCTCTTTCCAGTGACAACCCTAGTGAATCATGTTTGCTAATGTTTAGACTCTCCAAAGCACAACGTGATCGATAGCCTTGATTACCGGTAGGGTCCATAGTGGAACAAGTTTCAGAGCTGTCGCTGCTGAAGGATGGACGTAGATCAGTGAAAATTGAAAAGGGGAGCACTGCTGCCGTGGCCCCCATGCGCCTACTTTTGCATAACCTTCATAGAGACTTGAGGATTTAGCCAGAATTTATAATCTGCAGGGGGATGGAACAGGCCACACATTTCCTATTTATTTGGTGCTGCCTAAATTTAGCTGAACTCTGGCTTTCTAACCTTGTTCTGGGGGGGGGGGGGGGGCATGTGTTTTGCAACACCATCAATGAAAATAAGCAACAAAATTTGAATCTATTCTCTTTTCATTGATAATTTTAAAATAGTTTCAGTGGAGTTATATCTGGGGCCTGGCAAGATGGCTCAGTGGTTGAGGGTAATTAGTGTTCCTCCAGAGGTCTCTGATTCAGATGGCAGCACCCACGGGGGAGTTCACAACCACCTATAACTCCAGTTCCAGGCCATCCAGTGCCATCTCCTGGCCTCCTGGAGTGCTACACACACACACACACACACACACACACACACACACACACACACCACATGCACCCAGTACATACATGGTACTAAGACTCACACACACATATAAAATAACATTGAAATTAATATTTAAAAAGGAAGATATCTGAGATCTATGATTCCAATTCATCATATTTTGGAAAGGTTTTTTAATTTGTTTGTTTGTTTGTTTGTTTTTAGCTTCAACAAATACCCAAAAGTCATAGCACAATACAACAGAGGTCACAGGCACCCACTAGAGAAAGGAGCTACACGGCTCTTTCATTCACTTACATGTTCAACACGCACCTGTAGAGTGCAGTCTATGTAGCAAGCACTCTTCTAAAACCGAGCGTAACATACATGTGCACAGCATAGCAGGAACTGCCCACGGTCAAAACTCTGTATTGATGTGTTCTTCCCAATGGAGACACATGAAGACACTGTGAATTTAGCTCTTCAGTCATTAACCTACGCCATGGGCAAGAATACACATTGAAGTACAGGGGCCTGCATATCTATTACAATAAAATAAAACTTGTAAGTTCATTCTTTAACCCACGATGAGGGTTACCTTTTACCTCAAGTCCATGATGGGAATTACAGACAAACTCTTTTGAAAACTAACAGGCATTCTCTGGAATTTGGGGGGCACAGGGCTACCCTCCAATGAATGACAAAGCAAGGAAAGTGTAGCTTGACATGCCTAGAGAAGAAAATGGAATTATCAGTAGTTCACTCCACATATGCTGAAGGCAAGGTCTTTTTCCCAGGGGTCAGAACTAGCCCCATAGAATGGTGAAGGTTGATGGGTGAGTTGGTTCACTGGTCATGGATTACACCAAAGGCTCCTTCAACCAACGAGGCATGCTCAGCCCCTAGAGATTGAAGACTATAGATAGCCAAGCAGAGTGGAACGGTGCAATCTGCCACATGGAAGCAGTGTGCTTCTGTGAGAAACTGCAGGCCAAGCTCTCAGGGAAACGGTCTACAGTGAAGGAATCTTACACTGAGCCTTAGCGTCCTCCATAGCCTTGCAGTGTCATCATTGACTTACACCAACACAGTCCAGATGGGTTTTCTTCTAGTTCCTTCCCTCTTCTGGGCACATATTAAAACTCACCACAGCAAACATTCAGTGGAGAATGAAATAAACCAGGAAATGTCACATCGACAGAGACCCTCCCTCCTCTACCTCTCAACACTCTTAGGCCCAAAAAGCACACCTACGGGAAAACAGTTTAAAGTCAACAAAATTTTGGACTTTTGATTTATGTCTATACTGCCATATTCATTATTTAATGGGCCAAAAAAATCCTTGGAACATGGCTGAGATCTTATTGTAGGGGCTGGAAAGAATTCTAGGCTGTCACTATAGTTCAGATGGAGGGCATTTTTTTAGTGTGCAGGAGGCTCTGGGTACAATCCTAGCAACATAACACACACAAAAACATGCACAAGCAAGTTAGAATGTTTCCTGCTTTTCCTAAATTCATTCAATAAACCATTTAAGTAAATTCAGCTTGTGGAGAAGAGAAAGAAACATGCAGGAAGGCTCTGAGTTAGGCTTATTGAAAGAAAAACGTGTCAAACTGAAATCTTTCAATATAAAACATGACATTATACTTCCTAAGCCAATTTCTTTAAAACTCATGGAATAAGAGATTAGAAGTATATAGAAAAAAGTACACATATCCTCTTATCAGGCCTCCTTTCTAGGACTTTTAAAAACAGCTCTGGTTATTCCTGCCATCTAACCTCAGAAGGAAGAGACTGTAAGCAGAGAAGACAAAGATCTCAGACAAATAATTGTCTTCACTGTTTTCTACAGCTGAGTTTGAGGAGAAACCTTGTACAGAGGATTAACGGGGATCAAGCAAAGTTTCCACCACCTGTGCAAGCAGAAGCAAAGTTCATGAAAATTAAGAGATAAGTAAGTCACACATTAAATATAGTTGGTGGTTTAGATCTGCATACCCCAGATCTGGGGATATTTAAGACAGGTCTTAGACATCTTTCTGAATCCATGGAGGCAACTCTGAAGCCTAGAACATGAAAAACATTTGCAGGTTCTAAATCTAGAAAGGAAAAATGAAGGTATAACTTAAAAATGATAGCTAGGTCATCCTAACTTTGGTACCTGAAAAAAAAATGTCCATCATTTCACAGTGAGTGAAAAGTCAGTGGGGCTTTGTGAAGGATTAATAAGTCAGACATGCATAATACATTCCATGACAGGCTGTCAGACATTCGTGATAGAAAGGGAAGAAAACAGACTTTAATCCTAGCCTTGAAGGACACACTCAGCTCATAAATAAAGCTGGGCAAATATCTTCAGAAGTGTCACTTTGTGCATTCTCAACTTACTGGAAAGCAGCCCTTATCCCCCACTTTCTTCCTAAAGAAAGGACAAGAAGAAGGATGATCGAATTCTAAACATATGGCAACAGTAACAAAGCAAAAGGATGAGAGGGAGAGGGGATATTCCATCAAACTGTTGAGAATGGGAGGATATAGTTCACTC